CAACCACTGTTGATGAACCACCATGTTTCGACTCTGAGTATGTGGTGCTTTCCTGAGGTGTCGCTGAGACATGCTAACAGAGGATCCGTTTGCCTTGTTATGCCTTCTCATGTGGGAGGACTATTAATCTTCCTATTTCTGGTGCTGTCCTGGGTTCAGCTGGGATAGAGTTAATTTTCACAAGAAGCTGGCTGGGCTGACCCAAACGGTATTCTATACCATCTGATGTCATGCTCAGTATTGCAGTGGGGAGGTGGCTGAAGGTTTCGACTCCTGGCTGGCTCGCCAAAAATGTTTTAGTTTGGCCTGGATAAATGCCAGGTGCCCACCAAAACCACTCTACTACTCCCGCTCCTCAACTGGACAGGGGAGCGGAAGTATGACGAAAAGCTCGTGGGTTAGAGATGGGGACAGGGAGAGATCACTCACCAGTTACTGTCCTGGACAAAATGTGCTCCACCGTGGACCTCCATGGACTGCAGGCAGATAACCTGCCTCACCATGGTCTTTCATCACGAGCTGCAAGGGAAGACTCTCTGCTCCAGCTTCTCGAGCACTTTCTCCCCCCTCCTTCTTCACTGACCTTGGTGTCTGCAGAGTTGTTTCTTTCACATCGTCTCACTCCTCTCTCTAACTGCCATCTCACCGCAGTTTTTTCTTCCCTTTCTTCACTATGTTATCACAGAGGCGCTATCACTGTCCCTGATTGGCTTGGCCTTGGCCAGCGGCGGGTCTGTTTTAGAGCCGGCTGGCATGGGCTTTATCAGACATGGGGGAAGCTTCTCGCAGCTTCTCTCAGAAGCCACCGCTATAGTCCCCCCGCTACCAAAACCTTGCCACGCAAACCCATGACAGGTGCACATTTATCACTGCCTGTTTGTATGTGTCCAAAAGTGCTCTTGCTAATGATCCCTTTTGCCCCAGTGAGAATGTGTTGTGTAACTGTGGCAGGAAAACAAATAAAAGAGAAATAAGGTAGCAGGGTAACTATTTTGAGATGAGATTTCACTTGCTATGTTGATTTCCCCAAGAGATACAGCACATCCAATACCTCGTGTAAGTTTGGCATCCAGCATGGCATGGGTTTCTGGAGCAGGAATATTCCATTTTAAGAATCTGTTGGGCTCGTGTTTGGTGGACACCGCCAACTGTTTAGACATTAAAGTGCTATGAATTCCACCTGTGAAACTGGAGGCGGAGGTAACAGAAGTTGGAAAATTTGGGTCTAAATGTCAGGGCCTAAAGGTCACATTTCACTCGTGGAAAGTGCAGTTGTCACCACGAACATGAGGCTGCAGGAAGGGAATCGTGAGGCTCCCGATCTGTTTGATCTCCTACCACCTGACTGAATATGCTTAGTTTACACAAAGTTCAGAGATTGTTTTTTCTAACAAATCCATCCAGCAAATGCGATTCTGGTCTTAGGACTCAAACTCCCCTTTTCTTGTTGTTTCTTTTTTTCCCATGATCCGAGAGCAGTGATGAAGGTTCTGGGCATTGGGTCGGTGACTGAGATGGAGCTGATATTGGAGCTTTCTCTTGTAGCAGTTCTGTTTTTTGTCTTGCCCAGAGTAATGAAAACTCTTTGTGAGAGGAGCCGGAAAGCTCATGAGGCATCAGAAGAAGCAGGAAGATGCATTTTATTTCTATGAGCATTTAATCAAGAAATATTTTGGCTACTGAAAAAAATGAGAAGTGAAGGCAGTGAATGTCTGTTTGTGGGGACTTGGGAAGGTTTGATCATCTCAGATTTCTTACCTTCTTCTCTATTGCAAATGGTAAATGATTAAAATGAGGGTGTGTTTTGAAAAGAAGATTTCTAAAGAGAGCTGGGAGGATTCTGTTGTTGCTTGTTAATTATTTCATATGGAATAATTGCTATTTGCAAGTGGTCAAGAAACAACAAAGCATTTGTTTGTAGATTCCAGCATCTTAGCATGGTCTTTTGAGAATGAAATCTTGTTCTTGCCTGGTTGACCCTCATTCAGCGATACTGCAGGCCATGTTTCCCTCTGACACTTGCGCAGCCCGGTTGCCGCTAAGTTAGGTCAGCGATGTCTCCTCTGAGTGAATTTACATAAATGCAGCTGTCTGGACCTTGCAAATAACTTCGCTGTTTATGCAGAAGGAAGACCTGAAGCCAGATCCTTCTTGTCAGGGCTGGCCCAGTTGAGCTTGGAAGAGGCACAGCCTGCAAGGAAAAAGCAATCTTAGCTTTAGCCAGTAGCTCCAGTTCTTACTGGGAATAATCTACACCAGGACACAGATGTGTTTACAGTGAAAATGCCAATTTTGTATCATTGTATCTATGTGCTTTTTTGTATTTTTTGGATAATCAGAGAATGGAGTTTTCTGTCTTTGATTAAATACTTTGCTATCAGGGTTTGGAAGCTGTGTCACAGCAGGCTTTTTCACATACTATACTTCAACTGTGGGCTTATCTTAATGGGGAGGGAGTTTGTTTCAGTTAGCTGGCATGTGGAGACCAGGGACTGAGGAAATCTCAGCTGAAGCTGAGTGTGGCTAGCATGTGAGTTAGCAAGTGGAGTAAAGCTGTAAGCACTGCATTATCTTCAGGTGACCCTAATAACTCAAGTGAAAATCATCAATCACAGTTCTACCTGTTCCTAGTCATCATATGTGAGCTACCAGAGTTAAGAAGGCATCTTGAGCCGTAAGGAGGTCCTTACTGAGCTTCTCAGATCTTATGAC